TGAGTGATTAGGCATGCACAATAGGATAACTTGCAGCTAAAAATCTCTGGTCCAGACAATTCTGAAAAGGCTTCTGTGCATGAACAAGACAATATTTTGTTGTATTTTTGTCTTGCCCTTTTTTATACAGTGGTACCTCAGTATTCATTGTTAATTGGTTCCAGGAAGCACGATGAATACCAAAAATGATGGGTAACAAACACATTTCTCCCATAAGGAATAAAGCAGTGAGTCACAAGGCAGCCGACACCAACAAGTTCTAGCTTGTGCATTGAATACCGAACAAATGATGAGTACCGGGACACAATGTTTGCATCAAAATGCATTGAGTACCAAATTCGATNGCTATTTTTCATCCTCCGGAGGGAGAAAAATGGTCCAACACACAATCTGGAAGTTCGGGAAGTTCAGGAACAGACTTCCGAGTTGACCATTGGGCCATTTTTCACCCTCTGGAGGTTTCAGGGAAGCCTCTTGAAGCCTCCGGAGGGAGAAAATGGTCTAACACACAAACCGGAAGTTCGGGAACGGACTTACAGGTTGCCCATTTGGCCATTTTTCTCCCTCTGGAGGCTTTAGGAAAGCCTCCAGAGAGTGAAAAATGGCCAAAAATCGAGGCCGAAATCAGCTGGACAGCGCAACACCTAGCGTGCCCCCAAAAATGGCGTGCCATAGTTTCACTATCACGGGACTAGACTATAGCCTCCTAAAGATGATGTGCAATAGATGTCCTTTTTGCCATTTTATGATGCCTGGAGTAATATTGCAGTTTTCCTAAAAGTTCTCAGTAACATTTGAAAACACTAGTTGAGAAACTCCTCCAATTCTCTTTGCTTCATTTATTTTAGATTATGCATGTTCCAGATATTCTTGTAATGCCAAGCACCCTCAAGACTTGCTTAGCATTTTATTGTGTTCATTCATTCATTCAACTTCTTTAGAGATTATTGTTTGTTGTGCAGAAGGGGAGTCATTTTCCCCCCCATCAAAGGGTATAAGGGTATTCATTCCAAGACTGAAGTTGGTGCTGTTGAGAGCTACATTTTCATTCAGTTTTTTTTTAGATTTTGGACATGAAACCTAGGTTAATAACCTGGGTTATTCAATGTTTTTTAACCTCTTTTCTGTGCTTCTTAAGTTGTATCTCCAGGTTGTTGTGTTTCTTTTTTGTTACCATCTCTTGGAGCCTGTTTTATTGGTGGGAGTTTATAAAACAACTGGTTTGTATTGACCTCATCTATAAATTCTAAAGTTTTACAACTAAAATGATGCAGAACTTTATAGATGAGTTAAATCCTGAAAAGACAGCTCCACTTGACTTTCAGACAATTTTTCACCTTGGGTTGCTTATACTGTTTATCGAAGTTTTCCCCTCCTCCTCTATAAAAATTGTCTGAAAATGCATAATACAGATTAATTCAGCTTTTGTCATTCTTTGTCATCTCTTAAGTTATGGGGACAATTTTGAATCAAGAAAGTGTCATGCACAAAGAAATGGATATATCAAATCCCATGTATGTATCAACTTGCTCGAGACTCATGAATTAATTAGGGCATCTGTTGGAACTTTGACAGCATGTCTTATCCACATCTGCCTGCACACATGGATAAATACATCACATTAATCTTTATCAGACACCATTCTCACAAACATTCCATTAGAGACAGTTGGAAAATAGGGACTAAAATGAGGTTATTTACAGTGTTTGTAAATTTTGTTATGAATTCAGTAATGTCAGAACAGCAAAAATCCACTAGTGATTTCGGATATTGATTTTTTGCTAAGTGTTCTTTCAACAGCTGCAAGGAGATAATAGATGGAAACCAGGGGTGTCAAACTTTGATAACTTTAAGACTTGTGGACTTCACCTCCCAGAATTCCCCAACCACTATAGCTGGTTGGGGAATTCTGGGAGTTGTAGTCCACAAGTTTAAAGTTGCCAAGGTTGGACAACCCTGCTGTAAACTAATCATTAGCTTAATAGGAAATGTTGGTCAATGGTTAGAGATATTAATTTTCCAAACTTTTCCAGTATGGAGAACAGAGCTAGTGTCAAAGATGAACCAATCCTTTTAAGTATGCAGGCTTCTTCCAAAGGAGCAAATTGTTTTCAGGTTTGTGCAACTGAAGCAACTGTTTTTCAGTAGTATCTTTTTATTCTTGTGGCCAGGCTAAATATTATTCCAATAAATGTAGTGTCATGAAGATTATTAATAAAATGCAGAAATAAAGGGCAGTGGATTCCTCTCGTTTTAGGAGCTGTTTTACCATCTATTTGTAGGCTTGTGCAAATGGTTCAGAAGACCATCGGAAAACCCTGGTTTGAATCCACGGTGGGAAGCAGGGTCAGCATAATGAAGAAACTAGGATTGCTGTCAGAGTGAAGTGACCATGCTGAGCCTTTGGGAGGAAATTAATGCTTTGAGCAAGTGGGTTCAGGGGTGACAGCAGCTTTTGGCTGCCTCTGTGCCATTCACTTTGCAAACTGTCTCTCTGAATGACATGGAGAGTTCTAGTAGATCGGGCCTATCAGCACTCTAAAGATGACTTACAGCTTCCAAGATACAGTTTGATTCTGTTCTTGTTACCATCTAATGAACTGCAGAGTTCTTTAGAAGGTCAATTTGTTGTTGACTTATGGTTGATTTATGACAATACAGCTATGACGAGTACATATAATAATTTCTGGATTCTAGTTTTGTAGGTGTACATTTCTCCCCCCTCCCCCCCCCCCAAAAATCTCCTGATCTTGGTTCATAATTTAACATTAATATGCATTTTGATTGGCATTTGATGACATGTATAATCGGAGATTCATCTCAGGAAAGATATACCGATTCCTAGGTTGTGGTTAATTTTCTTATGACAGCCCTAATCCTGAATTGGAAAGATACTGTAACAGCAAAACATATTAAAGTGCAACTAACAAAGAAGACGTAATGGTAACCTTGATCCATAATGGTGAAGTTCTTGTCTCAGAGGGGGGGAAAACCTTTGGAAAAAAGCATTACCAGTGGAAAATCCACAATGTTTCTGCAATGAAAGATTGGTGAGCACGGTTGTTAACTGAGCTTCTTGCTTCCAGAATCTTCTGCATTTATTTAACATTTCAGAATTAGTGGAGGCTAGGAATATAAAGCAAGGCTTCGTTCAGTGGCTAAGACGTTGAGCTTGTCGATCAGAAAGGTCGGCAGTTTGAATCCCTAGCGCCGCATAACCGAGTGAGCTCCTGTTTCTTGTCCCAGCTTCTGCCAACCTAGCAGTTCGAAAGCACATAAAAAATGCAAGTAAAAAAAATAGGAATCACTTTGGTGGGAAGGTTACAGCGTTCTGTGCACCTTTGGCATTTAGTCATGCCAGCCACATGACTACATGAAACGTAGATGAGCACCACCCTCCCTAGAGTCGGGAACGACTAACACATATGTGCGAGAGGAACCTTTACTTTACCTTTAATTTAGGAATATTAAAAAAAGAATGTACATCTTGATAACAATTGATTTTTAAATATAATCAGGTATCCCCATTCTGAGTTTTGGGGTATGACTGAGTGTTGTTTCAAAGAGTTCACATAATGTATATATTTTGTATCTTGAGAGCAACAAATAAGCAGCCGTGACCTTGTTTTGTTGGCTGAACAAGAAAAGGGTTTTCAGAAATGCTTTAGATCTATTAAGATACATAGTCATGTTATTCTATGGTAGCTAAAAATCAGGAAAAAAAAACATAGTGGCACCTTTTCAATCCCTGTTGGGTGATTCTTCTCAAGGTCCATGTTAATCCCATTAAACATGTAAACTGTCTACCTGAATTGACTTCTAATACTTCACTATCCAGAATATTATCACCAGCCTGCAAAGTGGACAGAGTTTCAATTCGATTGCCTTTTGGTAAGTACTGGCAGTTTTGAGTGATAATTCTCTCCCCTTTGGGAGCAATTAGTACAGCATATTGAACTCCAGCTGCTTATTGTACCAAATTGATTGGTCAGATCTTAGATAGTTTCTCCTTTTGATTGGTGCAAACCAAAGCACATGAACCACTTTCTAAAAAAAGTACAAAACCAGAAGAAATAACTTCCGATAGATTTGGGGTCATTCGTGTAAATAAAGTTTGCTGTGATACTGTTTTCAAATTGTTAAGTGTTGGGTGCTGAGATTCCTGTGAAATGACAGTTCTCTTTCAGGAATAGAAGCGACATAGCTTGGTCTAGTGGTTAAGACCCCAGGCTAGAAAGCAGGAGACTGTGAGTTCAAGTCTCTTCTTAGCCATGAAAGACAGTTGGGTGACTTTGGGCCAGTCACCAGGAGACAGTGAATTCTAGCCCCGCTTTAGACATGAAAACGAGCTGGGTGATTTTGAGCCAGTCACACTCTCTCATCTCACTCGTACAGGGTGGTGGTGGTGGTGGTGAGAATAGGAGGAGGAAGCGTGTTGCGTGTTGGGTAAGTTCACCGCCTTGAATTATTTATAAAAATAATAAAGGCGGGATATTAAATAGAGGAAAACCTTTAATTTCAGGATTTTTTAAAAATTTAATTTGAAAATTGCTTGCCTTCTGTTGGATTTCATCTTGTATTTGTACACTTGTTAACAGCAAACATTGGATGTATCCTTTCATTCGCAATAAAGACGAAGGGGGGAAGGTGGTGGGCTCAGAACCTGCACATTCCAGCTAGTAACAAATTGATTTTGGTGATTCCTGAATTCTGGTTTAACAGTTTGTTGAACTCTTAATACTTTACTGACATGATTTTAGTCTGACTTGCTATTTTTAGTATTATTATTATTTTTGTAAATAATTTTCCTACTTTTTGCAAAGAGACTGTTTGTGTACTGCCAGGTTGACGAGGTTTTGCCTGTTTTAAGGTATATTACAAATATGCGAATTGCATCAATCCAGCCGACGTGCTCACCGTTTTGAAAACTTCATTTTACCTTTAAAATCACATGTTCCATTTTACCGGCCTCCTTCATATAGAAAATACATTCTTTTTGATACTAGTGTTAAAAAAGAAAAGAAAAAAAAAAGAAAAGGAAAAAAAAAGCAAACTCTCCAGTATTTTCTATGTGGAAGGAAGTTTTCTGTACATTTCTCCCATGTCTTTTACATCATGGTAGTTTGAATAACCATGCTTCCATATTCACATCAACTTTTTTTGTTTTTGTTTTTCCAATTTATACACAGCACTTGCTCTGAAATTTGGGGACTGAGTACACCAAATACGATAGATCAGTGGGATACCACAGGCCTATACAGCTTCTCTGAACAAACCAGGTGAATATTCTGCCCTGTGTCTCGTCATAGAGATCTTGCGGGTGGGTTCGGCTTTTCAGGGGTCTTTACCAGTTGCAGTGCTTCCTAGCAACAGAGCCTTTTAAACAGGATGTTGTGTTCTCAGTTGATGTTTTAACCAACAAAAGTTCTCTTCCTATTAGTGCTGTGGGAAGACTGGGGTGGGGTGGGTGGGGGAGGGGTGTGTGTGACTTCATACTCTGTTCTTCATTTAACAACAAAGGGGGCATTTTACTTCATACCAGGTTACCAAGTGTGTCTTTAAAATGCTTGCACACTATATATTTGTATGTATATTTTTTAAAAGAATCAGGTATGTTCACTCAGAGACAAGGAGACAACTTGTCTGGCTTTTGGTGGTTCCTTTTATTTTTTTTTCTTCCCATGTCACCCTATTTGCATTGTGTGCTGAGATTTTTGTCTTTCCCATCCCATGAGTCATAAATCCATCTGCATTTGTGTAGGCCCAGGCAGTCTTTTATCTTAAAACTAGCAAAACTTTTCAACTGGTAGCAGCAAGGGATGCAGAAATCGCAGGCAGGCATGATGTCTGGTGGACGCTGCATGTTCTAATGCCAGGGTTTCTCAAGAACTTCGGCCACTTTGAGACCTGTGGACTTCAACTCCCAGAATTCCCCAGCCAGCCCTGCTGGAAGTCCAAAGGCCTTAAAAGCAGCTCAGGTTGAGAAACACTGTTTTATGCAATGTGAATTTCCTTTGGTGATCTGACTGCTATAATTTTATGTGCAGTCTTGTACAACCTATATTCTTAACAGCAATAATTGCCTGTTTTAGCCCAGTGTCAAGTGTTGCTGATGAACAGACTTATTTATTGTCCAGCCATTATGACACACACAGATCCTTTGATTCAAGGGCCAGTAATAGCAGTGTGTGCACACTAACCATGAAACGACCTCTCTTATTGCAAAGAATATTGCAGTGTCGAAAGATACAAATGTCTGTGGCAGCTCTTTTGCATTTTTCTTTTTCGGGTAGGACGGAAGGGTGCTCTAAGTGCCATAGTTCTGAGTAGGTCATCTTAAATATGCTACAAGTCAACAACTCAGAACATTCTGGAATATTTTTCCCCCTCTCTCCAGGTCTCTCGATGGCCGCCTCCAAGTGTCCCACCGTAAAGGATTGCCGCATGTCATTTACTGCCGCTTGTGGCGCTGGCCTGACCTTCACAGCCACCATGAACTTAAGGCCATTGAAAACTGTGAATATGCTTTTAATCTTAAAAAGGATGAAGTGTGTGTAAATCCTTACCATTACCAGAGAGTGGAGACTCCAGGTACGAAGATGGCAAGCACGGCTGACGTAAAGGGCTTGGCTAATGCAGGCTTCCCTTACTAAGCCTCCGACGTAACGCTCAGTGTGTACAAAGTTGAATCAAAAGGAGTGTCTGCGTTATTTCCAAGGGTTTGAGCGGGAGTTACTCCAACTTTTAATTTTCCACAGTGGCACGTAAATATTGAAAAGCTTTGTTCGGTTGAATTGAATACATGTGTTTGGCACTCCCTGGTATAAATTGGAGCTGCAAAGGGCTGCAAGCATTCACCTCAATTAAAATGACAGAACTCCTCAACTGTCTTTCTTTTCTGCTTTGTTGTAGAGACTCAAGTGGCTCCCAGGATTTTTAATATAGAGACACCTGAATGATATGTTTGTTCACCTTTCTTTGGTAGTTCCAGGGAAAGGATTCCATCACAACCTGGAGCAGCCACTTAAGAGTGCTTAATTGCTTGTTTTTCCCCCAATCCCCTGTAATTTCTAAAGGATAGTTTGTTCAGATGGAATAAAAAAGTGTTTCTTAGGGCATGTTATTGCTTAATTGTTAACATGTCATCAGTGCAAGGAACTGAGACTGATAGAATTGGTACCACACTAATTTAGTTTCACATCTACCGTATGAACTGAGAGTCTATGAAGATTCACAACCATGCAGAATCACGGTTGTCCCAAAGGTGCTTTTTCAAAAGGCAGCTGGACTTTGAACTTATTTCACTTTATTTTCCAAAGTACCCGAAGGCAGGACGAGAAACAATGGGTGGAAACTAATCGAGGGGAGAAGCAACTTGGAAGTAAGGGGAAACTTCCTAACAGGGAGGACAATTAACCGGTATAACGGCTCGCCTTCAGAAGTTGTGGGTGCTTCATCCCTGGAGGTTTTTAAGAAAAGACTGGATAGCCAACTATCTCAAATGGTACAGGGCAGTGATGGCAAACCTTTTCGGGAGCAGAAGAGGAGCTGCCCAGGGCGTATGCACACATCCAAAAATGAACTTCCGACGCGCACCGGCCAGCTAGTCTTCTGGGTTTCGGGTGTGCATGGGTGTGCAACAATCAGCTGTCCGGCGCGCATACTCACGCAGGAAAACAGAAGACCAGCTCTTCCAGTTTCCTGCACTGCCACACACACGAAGTCCAGCTGATCATCACCCTCGCCTGCACGCCAGAAACCAGGAAGAGAAAACAGGTGATGCCACACGTGCCAGACAACATGGCTCCGCGTGGCAATTTGGGCGCACGTGCCATAGGTTCGCCATCACGGTTATAGAGTCTGCTGCTTGAGCAGGAGGTTGGACTAGAAGACAGTCCCTTCCAGCTCTATTCTGCTTGTTTTATTGTTTTTCCTTGAAGATGTGTCTCTTCTCATTCAAGAAGCTTGAACTGAAGAAGCTTCTTGGAAGGACTGAAGAACTTCAGTTCCCAGAACTGAAGAGGCTTCTTGGATGAGAAGCGAAACATCTTCAAGGAAAAACAAAAGTCCAGTTGCCTTTTGAAAAAGCACCTTTGAGATATATGAGCTGAGAAAAAGGCTCCAAAGTGACTTTAGCGAATTTTGCATCTGCATCCCTCTCCTTTTACACTTCATATTTACGGTTAAACCAGAATCAGAGAGGTCCCATTTGGATCTCAGCCTTAAAGACAACTTCATTCCCTTGGTTCAGTGGTTGCTTTCCGTTCCTTAGACTTCCACCCTTTCCTCCTGGGGTGATTCTGGGAAAAATAAGACACATTTCTATTTGTCAGAAGAAAGTGTGAAATAAAGAAGATAACCTTTTTAGTAATATGCCTAGGAGATTCTGGCTAAGTTTGCAGACAGCAGTACTCATATTCACCATGGATATTAGCATGTAATATATATTAAGTTTCTCCCTCCCCTCCTCCCGCAAGTGTTGATACTTAAATTAGCATTTTAGGCTAATTGGTGTGGTTTTCTCCATGCTTACCTGGAAATAAGCAATAATAATTTGGGTTTAATAGGCATAAAATTGAACGACCAGTGAGTGCTTTGAATTAAAACCTTGTCATGTGACTGTAGAGTCTGAAATACATTCTATAGAGGGGTATGCATATTGTTGTGTATTTAAGCATGATAAATTGTGCTAAACCTTTTTGGGATGTTTTTCCTCTTCCCAGTTCTGCCTCCTGTTTTGGTACCACGACACACTGAGATTCTGACTGAACTTCCTCCTCTCGATGACTACACTCATTCCATTCCCGAAAACACTAATTTTCCAGCAGGAATAGAACCACAAAGCAATTACATACCAGGTATTCCTGTAAAAGCAAATAGAACTAAACTGAAATCCATTGTATAACGTGCCAAAATTAAAATAACAGCATGGGAAGCCGGATTCTTTGCTAGGATTGGTATTTCTTTGTAATTGTTGGAGCGCTCCGGGTCCAACTAAAAGTTTTTTAACCATCATCCCAATCCTTGCCGGTATACTTTTTCATAAAGAAAAGAAGAAATAAGATCTTTTAACAGCATCTTTAAGAGCCGTGATGGCGCAGTGATTAGAGTGCAGTACTGCAGGCTACTTCTGCTGGCTGCCTGCAATTTGGCAGTTAGAATCTCACCAGGCTCAAGGTTGACTCAGCCTCCCATCCTTCCGAGGTGGTTAAATGAGGACCCAGATTGTTGGGGGCAAGATGCTAGCTTTAGCAATAGTACTTAGACTTATATACCGCTTTAAAGTGCTTTACAGCCCTCTCTAAGTGGTTTACAGAGTCACCATATTTGAACCCTGACAGTTATATTTTCAAATGCACCAATTGTGTTTCTCCACTGTCATTTGATGTTGTGGGTTGTACTTCTAGTTTTATTTGTGAATCATAAAATGTGTTCTGCAAGCTGGAGTACATATAAATTCTGAAAAATAACTTTTGTGCATGAGGTATAATTGAATACACTTGAAGTTGCCTTTCTTACAAAAAGAATGCATAAACTTCAGGAACCCTTCATGAGTTCATGGGCCATGCATATATTAACCTTTGCTGGGGAGGGAACTGCCTTATAGGCATCTCTAGCCACACATGGGATCGTGTGTTAAACTAGCTATTACCTAACTTACCTTTAAGTGAATCTGTAGCATGAGTATTTATTTTTAAAAAATTTAGGTAACTGCATTCACAAGCTTGCTTACTGTGTGGGAATTGAGGCTATGAAAACTAGCATCCTTCCCCTCCCCTCTCCTCCCCTCCCCTCCCTTCCTTAGGGTGTTTCTTGTGAAATTGGGAAGTCCATACTGGGCTTTTTCTTGTGTTTGCTTGAGACCAGTGGTTAGGAATGCAGTACTGCAGGCTAATTCTCCTGACTACCAACTGCTGAGAGTTCGATCTTGATCGGCTCAAGATTGACTCAGCCTTCCATCCTTCTGAGGTTGGTAAAAACGAGGATCCAGATGGTTGGGGGACAATAGACTGACTCTGTAAACTGCTTAGAGAGGGCTGTTAAAGCACTGTGAAGCGGTATATAAGTCTAAGGGCTATTTTGAGTAGAAACTTGAAAGGATTACAAGCTCCACATTGGTCAGGACTTTACTGATTTAATGAGGGCGGGTGGAAAAGCTCTATGCACTTACATGCATGCCCATGTAGAGTTTGGGACCAGAATGTCCAGAGCTTCCCCTTTTCTATTCCCATTCTAAAAATGACCACCATCCCCCAATCTTCCAAAAAATCAAAAACTCACTCCACAGTCTTAAAACTCCACAACTCTTAATGTCTGAGCATGTCTAGGGTGTATAAAGATTGCAACATAAGGCTAAGGAAAAAGGGAAACGCAAGTGACTGACACATTTTCCCCCTTTCTAAACCTGACATGGGTTTTTTTTTTTTTTTTTTTTGCTGTTCTAATTGTGGCAGTGTGATTTCCGGCCAGAGGTGTATTTAAATAGGCTCAAGGGCTAAATTCCTAAACATTTTGTCTATTCTTTGTTTATTNATGAGGACCCGGATTGTTGTTGGGGGGCGATATGCTGACTCTGTAAACCGCTTAGAGAGGGCTGAAATCCCTATGAAGCGGTATATAAGTCTAACTCCTATTGCTATTGCTAACCCATCTCTGGCGCAAACCCACATTAACCGGCTTTAACGGTAGAGCTTGGCTACCCATCCAGCCCCAAAGCCTGGAGGAGTAGCCCCCTCCCATGGAAGGCTAAGAGGATAGGGCCGTCCGTATCTTTGAAGGAATTTTGTTCTATGGGATGCTGTGGGTCTTGCCACAGAGATGGATGGCTCAGTTCTTGGATTCAACAGGATGAACCTTGAATGACTGTGTACAATTCAAGAGGTTGTGTTGTGGCCTGTGGAACGCAACCCCGCCCAGCAGTTGAATCAGATGAGGGAACGTGGGAGTCAGGGTTAGCATCAAGGCAATCTGAGAGCTCTAAGGCCCTTTAAAGATGTATCTGGTTTGGGACCAGGTTATCGAAAGGAGGGAAGGAAGGAAGGAAGGAAGGAAAAGAAAGGAAGAATGAAGAAAGGAAGGAAAAGAGAAAGAGAGGAAGGATGGAGGAAGGAAGGAAAAAGAGAAAGGAAGGAAGGAAAAGCGAGAAAGATGAAGTATGGAAAAAAGAAGGAAGGAAAAGGGAAGGGAGGGAGGGAGAGAGAAAAAAGAAAGAAAAAATAAAGGGAAGGGAGGAAAGAAAAGAGGGAAAGAGATGAAGGAAAAAAAGAGAAAAGGGAAGGAAGAAAGGGAGGGAGGGAGGTAGAGAGAAAAAAGAAAGATAAAAGAAAGAAAAAAGGGAAGGAAGGAAAGAAAAAAGGGAAAGAGATGAAGGAAGGAAAAAAGAAAAAGGAAGGAAGGAAGAAGGAAGAAAGGAAAGAAGAGAGAGAGAAAAGAGAAAAAGGAAGAAAGAAGGAAAAGAGGGAAAGAGATGAAGGAAGGGAGTAGGAGAAAAAGACAGGAAGGAAAGAAGGAAGGAAGGAAAGAAGGAAGGAAGAAGAAGGAAGAAAGGGAGGGAGGGAGAGAGAAAAAGAAGGCAGGAAGGAAGGAAAGAAAAGAGAAAGATGAAGGAAGGAAGGAAGACAAAAAGATGAAGGAAAGAAGGGATGAGGGAAAGGAAGGAAGAGAGAGAGAGAATGAAAGAAAAAAGAAAGAAAGAAAAAGAAGTCATCTGGAAGATCTTATTCCTGCTCTCTAAGCACTAGGAAGAAAGCAATGGCAAACTACTTTGGAAATCTTTTCAAGAAAATTGCAGTGATTAGTCCAGGAAGTTGCTAAGAGTCAGCATTAATTCAAAAGTCTCTGNACTTTTGCCCTATTTTTACGATCTTTCTTGGGCACGATTGTTAAGTGAGTCATTTGCAATTGGTTAAGCTAATAACCCAGTTGTTAAGTGCATCTGGCTTCCCCATTGACTTTGTCAGAAAGTCGCAAACTGGGACACTGCAACCATCATAAATATGAGCCAGTTCTTAATTTTGATCACGTGACCACAGGAATACCACAACAGTCACGAGTATGAAAAAAGGTTGTAAGTCAATTTTTTCCCCAGTGCCATTGTAACTTTGTAGGGGCGCGAAACCATCAGTTGTAAGTCAAGGTCTGCTAGGCATTCTGTTCGGCTGGTGTGTTGCTTTCGCAAATGCCACAAAGGCGTTTTATTCATTCCTTCTCTAACCCCCCCCCCCTTTTTTTTTTCTTTTCAGGCGTCAAACGGTAACAAGCACTCCTTGTTGGATCGAGCTGCACCTGAACGGGCCCCTACAGTGGCTGGATAAAGTATTGACTCAGATGGGGTCTCCCTCAGTGCGTTGTTCTAGCATGTCGTAATCTCGGAGGGCTCCGAAGATGGGAAGTCCCGACAACGGCTCGTTCTGTCACAGTCAACGCGTGTGTGGTCTCCATGAACTGTTTTCCTAATCCCAAAAAAAGTTCTGAGAGAGAGAGAGATAGAGAGAAAGCACTTGAGAATCTCATCAGTTTTCAAGCACCTTGTGGATTTTGTTTCTTATACTCTGATACTAGGTGAAACGTTAGTGTATAGAAACACCTTCTCCTGAAGGAGGGAGGGACATTTAAAGACTTTTAACGGTGGTTTTTTTTTATTGGGTATATATAAATCGAGTGTCCTACAGGTTGACCAATAACATGGACAAGTACAATTAGCAATAGGCCAGGAAGCCTCTCCAAAGCGTGGCGCCGTTTTTGCAATCCTAGTTAACCGCGTCCACTGGTAGATGTACGGAGCTCCGGCTTAAGAAGACATCTCATAAAAGGCCTAAATACTTGGGTTCTCCATATTTTTTATATTTTTGTATACATATTGGTTATGCGTGCAGGCTTTTACACTGCCCTCGAAGATGTGCTTGTTACAGAAAGCTTCCAGTTCCATTATCTTCAACTGCTGACCGTAGACACACACAGAGAGAGAGAGAGATTAAAATTTCGGGTTTTAATCACCTGAAAGCGTGGTGGAACCGAACGTGTTCCAAATAAATGGAATTCCTTCACCTTCCTCACTCCCTCAAACGATGAAATCCTGTTTGAATTGGGACATGCCCTGTCCATTCAGCAAATGCATCCGTTGCTGGCAGTCCCTGCTGCGGTCCTTCAGATTCGCTTTGTATCATTTACGCACTAATGGAGTAGTGTCATTGTAGGTCAGTTTGGTTTTTATAACCAATGAAACAAATCCAAATCACTTCCTAACCGGTGAGTCAGTCAACTTTCTTCCTCGGCCCCCTTGCTGCCTCCCGGACATGAAAGTCTCCCTTATCCGTGATTAGTAGATTTTGCTCCCGGTTTCAAATCCTACCTAAGAAAGACGGCAGGATATTATTTGTCTCTGAGAACGAGATTGTCAGGTGCGGCTCGACTGATCGTTCTTTCCCGATCAGGAAGAGGGCTTGCATCCTCTTCCTTAAATGCGTCCATCAGCCCTCTGTCTAATACACCATCGGATGTTCACAGTGGACCTGCAACGCCTGCCTTACTTCCCTGAAAATAGTATTTTTTTATGACGTGTTTGCTTGCTGGGCTTCTAAATCAAACCGACGAAGGGGAAGGCCGAGCAGGTGACTGCTTTCTTCTGTTATTTCCCCCAAGTCTTCCTGGAGTCCGAGGAGAAGGAAGGGCATGAGGAGGAGGAGGAGGAGGAGAAACGAGGTCACCAAGCTTCCTGTTTCATTGGAGAGGAGATCCCTGCTCCACAATTTCCTTTTTGCAGGTGGCAAAACAGGCTTTCTGGATGGGTTGTACGGAAGGGACGTTTCACCAAAGGGTTTTTTTTTTTTTGAACGATAGAATTGAGCCACGAGCACCCACGATGGGATCTTGCAGAAGCAGCGGCGGCTGCAGCTTCTGTGGGTGGCTTATTGCTTGACCAAAGGAACAACCTCCACAGTACATGTTAGGGTGAATCTTAGGACACTCCTACACCTGGACCTTGCTTTAAAAAAAAAAATATTTTGAATTATATTCTACAGATAGGTCTTTGTTGGGTAAGGGTTGGGAAAACTGTACAGAAGCGTTCTTCTGACTTGAAAAAGTATACATCTTACTAACCATCTTGTGATCTAGCCGTCTGTCCTCTTCGTCGTGGCAGTAGCCGGATTGCCTTTTGTCTTGTTTCTTTTTTTTCTCTTCCCCTCCCCTCGCAACCAATCTCTCCCCCCCCCCTTCTCCAAAGGTTACTTTTCACTAGTCTTGTACTTCGTAAGTACACCTAGTGGCAATTCTAGCTTTGACAACTAATGTTTGGCCAGTGTTAAGCTTTCTAATCGGCTGCCTCAACCTGAAAGGCAACGAGGGATATTTTTTTTATGCCATAACAAAATAGGGCATAAGAAGCAATACCAAAAAAATTTGAAAACAATAACGCCGGGGGGAGGGAGGGAGGGTGGGTGGGAACTCAAGTGTGGGCCGGGCAATTCAGAAGAATGGGCAAAGAGTTACCAATTCGTGTAGTTTTACCAGTAGCCTCCTGTATTGGTAGAACTTGTAAAACTAAGAGGGAAGCTTTCATCTGTGTTGCATTTGCCTAATATGTGAATACACTAATAAAAAGTTTTAATTCTCACTTTTGTTTGTGTGGTGGTTTGGTGGGAAGATTCTAGTCAGGGGTGTCAAACTCAAGGCCCACAGACCACGTCTGGTCCATGGAGTGCTTAGATTAGGCCCACGGGGCTGCCCTGAAGAACTGAAGGACCCGTTCCGTGGTACTTCTGCCAGTGAAAACGGAGCTGGGGAGGGCTGGGTGCGGCTCTCCCGAGCTCCGTTTTCAGCTGCGACAGGCTCCTGAAGCCCTTTGCCAGAGAAGACTGAGCGTGGCTCTCCCGAGCTCCATTTTTGGCTGCAACGGGTGCCTGTGTTCCTCTGCCAGAGACAACAACTCAGGATGGCTGCGTTCGGCCTCCCGATCTCTGTTTTTGGCTGTGATGGGCTCCTGCAGCGTTCTGCCAGCAAAAATAGAGGTCAGAAGGGCTGCGTGCGGCCCTCCCAAGCTTCGCTTTAGGCTGCAATGGGCTCCTGCAGCCCTCTGCCAGCGAAAACGGGAAGTCAGCCTTCCTGAGCTCCGTTTCCAGCTGCAACGGGCTCCCGCATGCTGCCCTCCCGGGCTCTGCTTTCCCTGGCAGAGGGCTGCAGGAGCCTGTTGCAATCAAAAATGTAGCCAGGGAAGACCGCATGGAGGCTGCAGGAAGTTGAGCTGACCATACCCATTCGCCCCCCCCCCNAACTCCACAACTCTTAATGTCTGAGCATGTCTAGGGTGTATAAAGATTGCAACATAAGGCTAAGGAAAAAGGGAAACGCAAGTGACTGACACATTTTCCCCCTTTCTAAACCTGACATGGGTTTTTTTTTTTTTTTTTTTTTTTTTTGCTGTTCTAATTGTGGCAGTGTGATTTCCGGCCAGAGGTGTATTTAAATAGGCTCAAGGGCTAAATTCCTAAACATTTTGTCTATTCTTTGTTTATTGATCAAACATCTAGCGTCCATGGTATTGAGTGATGTTTTTATTTTAAAGGCTTCTCAATTATATTTTGCTCTTGGCAGAAACACCACCCCCTGGCTATATCAGTGAAGATGGGGAAACCAGTGACCAGCAGTTGAACCAAAGCATGGATACGGGTAAATGCCTTCATTTTTATGGTGTGCTCAAGTCTTATGCTCATTTTTTGTTACGTTTGCATGTATCTCTGTGACAAAAATGTTCTTGGGTTGTATCAGTGTTAGGTTTTAAAAGGGTATGTTGGTTTATTTGTTTGTTTAAACCAACTCCAGTGGACCCTGGTGCTATACATAAATTAAAAAAGATTCAATGCCTGCAAGGAAAAAAAATTCCTATGTGGAAACCACTTCTGGACTTTGTGCTTGAGGTAGAGGGAGAAAAATGAAACTTTGATTTTGGGTTTATGGATAAAATAGATACGGTGTAACAGCAAATGGCTAGTTTAAACTACAAGCAAAGTCAATGGGAAGCTGGGTTCACTTAACAGTTGTGTTACTACCTTAATAACTGCAATGATTCACTTAACAGCTGTAGCAAGAAAGATTGTGAAATGGGATAAAATTCATCTAACAATCTCTTTGTTTATCAATAGAAATTTTAGGCTCAATTGTGGTCATAGGTCAAAGACCACCCGTACATTTCATATTTCTTGGATTATTAGATATTGAAGTGGCAAAGGGTTAGTTAAATGCCCTTTTCAGTAGGTTAATATACAGTATATCACCTATCCTGATCTCTCAACCTTGATTTTTGTTACGTTATTGCTAATAGGAGTAAGATAAATTCTAAGCTAGTTAGTGGAACTAATGCTAAGGTTCTGTCATGGCAATCATAGTTCCTCCCATCCTTTGTTCAAACATTTTCCATTTTTTTCAACATTTCATTGAGTTGGGGGAAAGAATAAAAGTGATTCCAGATTCTTTTAACTACCCTCTCCAAAGGTAATGGTAGCTTGTGAAAAAATATGGCACCTGGATCTCTGTCTAAATGATTTGTGTGAGTGTTTGTGTGTGTCTGCACACAGGCAGGAGAACAACAATGAAATAATGTCCTTCATTGTTTCCCCAGGATCACCGGCAGAGTTGTCTCCTAGTACACTCTCTCCTGTCAATCACAGCCTAGGTAAGGCGGGAACACTGAATTGGATAAATGTCTTTGTATTAGGAAATAGGAACTCTTATTATCTGAAGCCAGTAGTGGACTGCTGCCGGTTCGGAGAGGTTCAGATGAACAGGTAGCTGGCCCCGCCCTATCCTGTCCTATATTTCCTTCTTTCTGGCTCAGCTGATTTGTGCGGCACAGCTGATTTCCGCCCCTCCACTATTCTACTTACCGGGGCTGCCTTAGAGCAGTGTTTCTCAACTTTAGCAAGTTTAAGACGAGTGGACTTCAACTCCCAGAATTCCCCAGCCATGCTGGCTGGGGAATTCTGGAAGTTGAAATCCATTCGTCTTAAACTCGCCAAGGTTGAGAAACACTGCCTTAAAGGGTAAGCAGCTGAGCTTCCAATTGCTGTATTCTGAATGCTGCGCGCAAGCGCATTAGGCACACACGCACACAAAGCGCGCACTCACCAAACCGGTGGTTAAACCGATTGCAGGCCATCACTGCCTGTGGCAAAAAATGCAGAAATTGCAATAGTTGGCACCTCCACCTGGTACACCATTGAAATATGTTTTTTTAAAAACTCGCCCTGTGTTTTGAGACATGGAGTTCAACCTTGACCAAACTTTTAAGACTTGTGGACTTCAACTCCCATGCTAGCTGGGGAATTCTGGGAGTTGAAATCCAAGGTGGCCAACGTTAGATACCCCTGCTTTAGGGCTTCAGACTTTGAGTTCACCTCCAGGTGTGGGATATGGCAAGGTTCCACTGTGAGAGGCAGACAGTAAATAAAGCCTTCTGTGCCCTGGTAAGAACAGCTATTCCTTATTTAAATATTTCCCTCAACAAAATAATTATTTGGTTCTCTTCTAGAATCATGTGAAGAGCAACGTTAGTATGCAAACATGGTAAAAAGGTGCCCCAGATTTAAAAGTTTAAAGACTTGCATGTTGCTATCAGCAACTTGAAGTTAGATGCTCCTATGGACACATCCTGAGCTAAACATATAACTCTAATAAGGATGTACATAATTGTTTTGAATGCTGACCTTGCTCGAAGTGAATTATCCAATATCTTTGAATAGCCTTGAGAGGTATTATTGTAAAATAGATAACTGAGGCTTAGTAGAAGAGTTTGATTCACCATTGGACTGCTTAGATATACTGTTAAATTAACTTTTCCTACTATCGGGGACACTATAAAAGTGTTGCACTCCACACTACACGGGACACATATCGGTTTCCTTCCGGATGTTCCAAACTCCCAACAGTAAAACTGTAGCCAGTCCTCAACTTATGACCATACTCGAGACTGGAATTATGGTCATAAGTCGTGGCGGTCATACCTTGAGGCGGCGTGTCCAGACCCAATTTTTTGACAATTTTTTAAACTGCTGTTAAGCAAATCCATTGCATGATTACTATTTTTTTTTGCCAACAATTGGAACGAAATGCCAGAAACTGATTTAAAAAACAAGGCAAATTGTGGTCACATGACACTGTGTTGGATGCTGCGAATGGCCATAAAGGAAAACTGGTTGCCAAGCACCCAAAATACATTTAAATGAGCACAAGGGGCGGGATAAGACAGTCATAACTTTGAAAGTGAGTCATTAGGTTTTGGGGGGTGTCTATTGTAACTTCAAGCAGCCGCTAAGTGATCAGTCATAAATTGAGGGCTACCTGTACTTTGTTGGGATATTACTAGCATATGGTATGTTTAATGAGAGTTGTATCAATTTATGGGTGCCTCAATTCTATCAGTTTATAGGTGCTCATATAATTCATTAAAAATCAAATGTTTTGGTGAGTCTTTTTAACTAGTTCCAGCAACTTGTATTAATATTTCTATGGACGGTGTTTTTGGAAATGAGCTTCTTAAAACGTGAATCCCTTACAGTGTTGTGGGCAATTAAATCAAGATAGTTTCATCTAGGACCACATTACCCTGGAAAATGTGGTGCCAAAGAGTGGAACAGAAAGGGGAATAAAGATATGAAATGATTAGAGAAAATAAATGTTTCAGGCAGAGTATGTTTTCAACTCAGTTTTCCCCTGCAAATAAAACGAGACAGAGTGAGCATTCCCTTAAAATTAAGACGTTCAGATTGTTTTGTTGCATGAGGTGAATTAGAGCAAACAGCCTTTTTTAATAAAATGTATTATTTTCTTTTTTTACCTGTTTAAGCAACAGTCAGTTAATTTTTGGAGTAAGCGAAGGAAGTCCCTCAACCACTGTGCCGACAGAGCTTTGATTGTGGTTTCACTGAAAACATGGACATTCCTTTTCTGTTTCAGTAATGGTAGCCATGACTATCAGACCCTTGCCAAATACTGAGAAGTAGAGTCATATTAAGAATGATTTCTAAGAAGGATTTCTTTCTCCCTGCCAGATTTGCAGCCAGTTACCTACTCGGAGCCTGCCTTTTGGTGTTCGATAGCGTATTATGAACTAAATCAGAGAGTGGGTGAAACTTTCCACGCGTCGCAACCTTCCCTTACGGTAGATGGCTTCACGGACCCATCCAACTCCGAACGATTCTGCCTAGGTTTGCTCTCCAACGTTAACCGAAACGCCACAGTGGAAATGACAAGACGCCACATAGGTAGGGGGTCTGATCCCCTGGTGAATTACCAGTCTTCTGCCATTCACAGTTCAGATTCTTTCTTTTTTTCTCCCCCCACCCCTTCCTACCTACCTTTCTTTCTTTCCCCTTCTCTTTTCTTTGTCTCTGCTCCTTCCCTCCCTTCCTTCCTTCGTTCCCTCCCTCTCTCTTTCTCCCTGCTTCTTTCTTTCTTTCTTTCTTTCTTCCCTCCCTCCCTCCCTCCGTTCTTCTCTTTCTTTCTTTCCCCCTCTCTTATTTTTGTCTCTGCTCCCTCCCTTCCTTTTCTCCCTCTCTCTTTCTTTCTTTCTTTCTTTCTTTCTCTTCCCTCCCTCCCTTTCTCTTTCTTTCCCCTCTTTTTTCTTCCTGCTTCTTCCATCCCTCTCTCTCTCTTCCTTCCTTCCTTCCTTCCTTCCTTCCTTCCTTCCTTTCTTTCTTCCCCCCTCCCCCCTCTTTCTTTCTTTCCCCCTCTCTTTCTCCCTGCTTCTTCCTTCCTTCCTTCCTTCCTCTCTTTCTTTCCCCCTCCCTCCCTCTTTCTCCCTGCTTTTTTCTTTCTTTCTCCCTACTTCTTTCTTTCTTCTTCCTTCCTTTCCTCTCTCTTTCTTTCTCCGTGCTTCTTTTTTTCTTTCTTCTCTCTTTCTTTCCCTTATATAAAACATTTAAGCAAGTAATGCAAGAAGTAGTAAAACTCAGTTCTTTCATTTAGTTTCATAACTGTGGCATGCTAGCTATAAAATAAAATTAGCAATCCAGCTGATTTTTAAATCGATACAAAAGGAGCTAAGCATGATGTCAGATGTTAACCTTCAGCATGTCTCTTTTCTCTCTTCCTCATTCCCCCATCCAGGAAGGGGAGTGCGTCTGTATTATATCGGTGGGGAAGTTTTTGCCGAGTGCTTAAGTGATAGCGCAATCTTCGTGCAGAGTCCCAACTGTAACCAGAGATACGGCTGGCATCCGGCCACTGTGTGCAAAATTCCACCAGGTGAGATAGGTGAAACCAAAGAAACAACACATTCAGTATATTAAAATACATAAGGCAGATTTCTTCCAAATGATACTCTTCTTAGTGTCAAATCCTTATTTTCTAATCAGCAGAAACTTTGCCTGGGAATATTGGGGGATGAATTGCAGCATCTCCAAAAACTGTTTAATTTTTTTTTAATGCTGCATAATCTTTAAAGGGATGGGTTCTATAATATTAACCCGGAGAGGATGCTGATAACTCGGCAGTAGTAAACCCCCATCTGTCTTTTTCCTCTTCATATAGGTTGCAACCTGAAGATCTTCAACAACCAGGAATTTGCTGCTCTTCTGGCTCAGTCTGTGAATCAGGGCTTCGAGGCCGTGTACCAGCTCACCCGCATGTGCACCATCAGGATGAGTTTCGTCAAAGGGTGGGGAGCTGAATACAGGTACTTGATGGAGCTTTGAAGAATTCCCTTGTGGCAGGGTGGGATTGCCAAGCCTACATTTCAGGCGCAACCCTAGCCTTCTCACAGAATCTATCTGGTCTAGACTCATACTTGGCATTCTCTTTGCATGCAAATTATGGTGTTTTAGATCAGGGGTCTCCAACCTTGGCAACCTTAAGACGTGTGGACTTCAACTCCCAGAGTTCCTCAGCCAGCAAAGCTGGCTGAGGAACTCTGGGAGTTGAAGTCCACAAGTCTTAAAGTTGCCAAGGTTGGAAACCCCTGCTTTAAATCCATCTCAGGCTCTTTTGTGAGAAACTCAAGCTCTTCTCCCACCCTGGACGGTTAAGAAAATTCCAGTAAGAGGGCTGACAAATGGCAGGCAAACTTANACACACACACACACACACACACACAGGCACAATTTAAAAAAAAAAACAGACCGAAAAACACTCTGCTCTCTGGACTGAACTGACAGCTCCCATACATTAAACGTGTCTCTTTCAAGCATAAGCTGCTCCTTTCATCATGCCTTTCTCTCGGAAACTTTTTCCACTGCCATTTTAAAATTGAATTTGGAACATTAAAAAAAAAAATGGCTCGAGTCTCTAATCATGGAAATTTAAATTGGGGATTGTTTAAACCCAGAGTCAAGCAGCCTCAGAGAACGGGGGGGGGGGGGGGGGAAGCAAATGAAATCCACATTTCATAAACAGGCATCTTGGAATTGCAAAAGCAGATCTTGGGAAAAGGGCTCTGGGTCCTTTGGAGAGGAGGGGATTCTTTCCACTTGATAAGCAGCTTGTATCGTCTGCTGAGCGCTGAGTGTGTCCTGGCTTTTGTTTTTGCTTTAAATCAGGGGTCCCCCAACCTTTTGGACCTCGGGGGACCACTAAATTCATAATTTTAAATCCCGTGGATCACTAATATGATCTGCGTAATGACTGGCTGGGTGGGCGTGGCTAGGTTGGGGGGGTGTCATGTGACTGGCTGGGCATGGCCAACTCAATGTTACTCACATTGAGGGGCATCTCGCTGGCCTCTACTCGCTCCTCCCCTCCAAGCCCCTCCTTGCCTGCCCGCCTGGACTCCTTAGGGCCCCAACGGGAAGCAGTTGTTGGAGCTAAGCAGCCACCATGAGAAAGGGTTGGCAAAACAGCTCAGCTCAAATCGGATCTGACCGAGAAGGAGGCTCAGCAGAAGCACCTCACTGAGGACTATGAGCATAGGCTTTCCAAGCAGAGGGAAGACCTGCAGGAGTACAAGCCAGGGACCGACACCTGGAGGCTCAGCGGGCAGAGATGGTCAGCCAGTTCCAGGCCATGTTGCTGTCCCACTGGAACGAGGCCCTCTGGCTCTTCGCCACCAGTGGCTCTTCCCTCCAGCCTTCACCCAAAGCCCCTCAGACCCCAAGTGGGAATTTCTGCTCCCCTCCGACCCATACAAAAAGACCCCAAAGGGGGAGACTCTCGGCAGCAACACAAGCCTTCATTGCACGTATCCAGCCCAGGGGCCGTAGTTTGAGGACCCCTGATTTAGTGCAATATAAAAAAATGCAAATAATTTTTCTGCGGACCACCAAAATTTTCTCACGGACCATCAGTGGTCCACAGACCTCCGATTGGTGACCACTGCTTTAAATCACCATTGGAAGAACTCTATCCTTCTGTGAAACACCCAGAGACCTCAAAAAGACCATTGGCAAAAAGGGAGTATAAATTCAATCCTAGTATGGGTAGTCCTTGACTTATGACCACAATCAAGCCAAAAAGTTTTTTCGGAAAGCGAGAAAATGATTAAGTGAGTTTTGCCCCATTTTACGACCTTTCTTGCCGCCGTTCTTAAGTGAATCAGTGCAGTTTAAGAGAATAACAGAGTTGCAAAGGGCATCTTTTTCATATATGAAGTTAAGTCACCACAGTTGCTAAGTGAAATCTGGCTTCCCCGTTGATTTTGCTCGTCAGAAGGTCACAAAAGGGGATCACATGATTCTGCAACCATATAAATATGAACCGGTTGCCAAGCATTCCAAATCTGAACATGGGATCATGGGTAGTGTGAAAAACAACAACTTGTTTTTTCTAGGAACACTGTAACTTCAAATGCTCACTAAATCAATATTTGTAAGTTGAGGATTAACTGTAATGTAATTTTCTATATTTTGGGGATCAAAAACATTATGCTCTTCTTGTATATTTCATGCATCTTATTTGAGTTTCCTAAAAGCACCTAAAAGGCCATACTTTCCAAGTTATGGCTGAAATTTCCATCCCACCAGAATTCTGGGGATACACTTACATATTAATGCAGTGTTTCTCAACCTTGGCAACTTGAAGATGTCTGGACTTCAACTCCCAGAATTCCCCAGCCAGCGAATGCATATCTTGATAAGTCTAAAGCCTGTCATTTTCTGCAACACAGGGGTGTCAAACTTGATTTCATTGAGGCCCGCATCAGGGTTGTGTTTGATCTTGGGGGGCTAGGGTGGGTGTGGCCAGGTCAACATCACTTGTGTCGGGGGAGCCTATGGAGGCTCGAGTGTTCTGCAGGCGAAAACAGACTCCCGAGCTCCGTTTTTGGCTGCGATGGCATCCTGCAACCTTCTCCCAGTGAAAATTGAGTTGGGAGGGCCGCCCGCAGGACGGTCCTTCGCTGTTTCCTGAGTGGCCCTGCGGACCAGATCTAAGCACCCCACGGGCCACATCCGGCCCCCGGGCCTTGCGTTTGACACCCCTGGTCTGGTCTAACAAAGAGAAAGATGATGTGTTAGCAGTCTTCCAGTATTTGAAGGGCTGTCACAAAGAAGAGAGTGTCAATCTATTCTCCAAAGGGCAAAACAGTTTGAAATTTATCAAGGAGAGATCCAACCTAGAACTAAGGAGAAATTTCCTGACAGTAAGAGAACAATTAACCAATAGAATGATTTGCTTCCAGAAGTTGTGGGTCCTCCATCACTGGAGGTTTTAATGAAGAAACGGGACATTTATTTATCCAGAACAGCATAGGGTCTTCTGTTTGAGCAGTAGGTTGGACTACAACCTACTGATAAGAGCCAAGGTGGCGCAGTGGTTAAATGCAGCACTGCAGGCTACTGCTAGATCAGCAGGTCAGCGGTTCAAATCTCACCGGCTCAGGGTTGACTCANGACTTCAACTCCCAGAGTTCCTCAGCCAGCAAAGCTGGCTGAGGAACTCTGGGAGTTGAAGTCCACAAGTCTTAAAGTTGCCAAGGTTGGAAACCCCTGCTTTAAATCCATCTCAGGCTCTTTTGTGAGAAACTCAAGCTCTTCTCCCACCCTGGACGGTTAAGAAAATTCCAGTAAGAGGGCTGACAAATGGCAGGCAAACTTAACTCTGTACAAAGAGAGAATATTCTCAATTAACACCCCAGCGATCCTTGGGCCCATGTAGGCAACATTTTTTGGGAAGACTGAAAGTCCAATTTGGCTTTGATTTGCAGCTAGCTGGGTGGGGTGAGTTTGAAAGCTGATGTCGAAAGGCATTTCTAGCCTACGAAATGTCTTGCGGTTTCTCTGCCCCCCCCCCCCCCCGCCTCCCAATTTCTTCCTATTGGGCTATATAGTTCCCTGCAGATGTTATACAGCCTGGAGCAGTGGTCGTGTTTTGTAAATTAGTTCCTTTCTGTCTTTTATGCCCCACCTTTATTATTTTGATAAATGCAACTCAAAAGGGATGTGGTGGCTCAGTGGCTAAGACACTGAGCTTGTCGGTCAGAAAGGTAGGCAGGTCGGTGGTTCGAATCCCTAGTGCTGTGTAACGGAGCTCCTGTTACTTGTGCCAGCTTCTGCCCGCCTAACATTTCGAAAGCATGTAAAAAATGCAAGTAGAAAAATAAGAACCACCTTTGGTGGGACGGTAACAGCGTTCTGTGCCCCTTCGGCCTTTAGTCATGCCGGTTACATGACCACGGAGACCTCTTCAGACAGCACAGGTTCTTCAGCTTTGAAACAGAGATGAGCACCGCCCCCTAGAGTCGGGAATGACTAGCACATATGTGTGAGGGGAACCTTTACCTTTGCCTAAAAACAAATTCAGGCGGCAAATATCTCTATTGCTCCTTCCTTTTATTTCCCTCCTCAGTAACAACCCTGAGAGTTGAGTTGGACTGAGAGAGAGTGACTGGCCCCGCTGACTTTCATGGCTAGAGCAGGACTAGAACTCCCAGCCTCCTGGTCTCTCTCGTGGAGCCCTAAGCCAAACTAGGCCAAACAGACTGTCTCTCGTTCTACAGAGTTTGCTAAGGAGATGTCCCATATTTGCTTGACATCTTTTAACCTTTAGTTTTAACTTTAGTTCTCTTAAAGTGCCAACCTTGATTGAAAGCACATAGTGCTGCAAAACAGTTATTAATTTAATGATTTATTAAACAAATGTATACATCCCCCCCAGGTCACACACATTTTTTTTTACGAATTCGTCGCATAGTAAAAATCCATAAAAAACAGCACCGCACCACCCTTATTAAACACTTTGATAACTTCCCAAACCCCATACCCCTACTCCCTTTATTAAGCACTTAAACTACACATCGGGGCTTTTCTGCTCTACTCTATGAATTATTATGTTATTCCGAAGAAAGAGAAAATGGAATCTTAAAATGTAATACGAAGGGTGGCACAGATTTTAAAGATAAACTGCCCGAAGTAAGTAGGACTTGCAATTTGTTTTGGAAAAGGGATAGTTGCTTTTTTTGCACCTAGATAATAAAATTGCTCACAGTTCAACTTGTGCAGTAGGACAGATACCCCCAAGGCCAGGCGGATGATAGGCAAAAGAAAAACTGCACGCGAGGGAGTCCTTGTCTCTTAGCAGAGTTGGGTGTGTATGTGTGGAAATGGGTTAAGTAGGGAATGGGTAGTTGGTACAGGTAACGGGAAGGGAAAGAAAAAGGCTCCCTTGATGACACAAGAAGAATTAAATTTGCCCTTTTGCCTTCTCAGTGAGCATTAGATTTGTAATCCCCTATGTCATTGTAGGTAA